TATGAAGGGACCTCGTAAGATCATCGGGTCCAGCCCCCTGCACTAGGCAGGAAAGACAACTGAGGTCAGGTGACCCCAGCAAGGTAACCATCCAGTCTCCTCTTGAAGATTTCCAGGGTAAATGATTACACCACCTCTGGAGGGATCTTATTCCACAGCCTGGACACCCTGACTGTGAAGGAGTTTTTCCTAGTGTTAAGCCTGAAACAGTCTTCCAGGAGTTTGTGGCCATTAATCCTGGTTTTCCTCAAGGGTGCCCTGGTGAACAGTTGTTCACCGAGCCCTCGATGTATTCCCTTGATATAGCTGTAAGCTGCTACCAAGTCCTCTCTCAGCCTTCTCTTTTTTTAGTCCCTCAGCCTTTCCTCATATGACTTGCCTTGCAAGCCTCTGATCATACAGGTGGCCCTTCTCTGGACTCTCTCAAGCTTTTCCACATCCTTGAAGTGCGGTGCTCAGAACTGGACACAGTACTCCAACTGCAGTCTCACCAATGCAGAGTAAAACAGAAGAATCACCTCCTTGGTTTTGCTGGAGATGCATCGACCGATGCATGCCAGAGTATTGTTTGCCCTGCTGGCTACAGCATCGCATTGCCAGCTCGTGTCCATACTATGGTCAATTATTACTCCTAGGTCCCTTTCAGTTGTGGTGCTGTCAGTTTGGCACCACTGGGCCTGTAAGTATGTTGGGGGTTGTTTGTCTCCAGATGGAGCACTTTACACTTCTCAATGTTGAACTTCATCTGGTTCTGATCCACCCACCTTGCCAGCCTGTCTAGGTCCACCTGTATCTGCAGCCTATTTTCAAGCATGACCACACTCCCCCATAACTTGGTGTTGTCTGCAAACTTAGGCAGTGAGCCCTTCACCCCCCCACATCCAAATCATTGATGAAGATATTGAAAAGCAGTGGACCAAGCTCGGACTCCTAAGGGACACCACTGGCCACTTCTCGCCAGGACAACACAGATCCATTCATTGGAACTCTCTGGGTCCTACCCCGTAGCCAGCTTCCTACCCACCGAACTGTCGAGCAGTTAAGCCTGCAATCCTCCAGTTGTCCCTAATGATACATTAGAGCAGATCCTTCCGAACTGTGTGCCGCAACACATTAGTGTGTCGGCGGCAGTGTGTAGGTGTGTTGCGCGAAATGCAGAAAATTTTGCGGAAGGGCACCGCGGAGCTCCCTTACTCGTGTCTGCTTCCCTTGGCCCCTCCCCCGGAACTGAATTACTGTGTCGCGAAATGATGCATGTCTAAAAAGTGTGTCACCAACATGAAAAGTTTGGAAAGCTCTGCATTAGAGGATCTGATACATTAGAGGATGGTGGATCCCTTGTTCTGCTCTCATCTCAGTGTGGTCAGTAACACTTCCCACCTTCCTTTGTCCTCCCATCTCTTGCTCTCCAACCTCTGCCCATCTCTGAAACTACTTCCTTCATCATTATTGCCAACCAGGAACTCAGGACACCCCTGAAGGAGCTCCAGCCCCTGCCTTCCTGCAAGCACTTGGTCCTCCTCACACACTCTACAGCCTCCAGCGTGATCCAGCCTCGGATGCAACATTCTCAGACTTAGGGTGACCACCTTTTCAAAATGCAAAAGTGGGAAACATGAACACTGCGTGCCCCCGGAAGCTGGAGGGGCACAGCTACCGCCAGCAGGCGGCAGTGGCGCTATCGGCAGTGGGGGCATGGGAGCAGGGAGCTCCCATAGACAGCCACAGCAGTGTTAGCAGGGGGAAGAGGGTGGCGAGCCCACAGATGCCACCAGCAGTGTTGGAGGTGGGGTGGGCATGGTGAGCGGTGACCACCTACATGGACTGCCAGCACCATACACATCGCCAATAGTGAGAAACATGCCTGCACCCAGGACCATCCCCGGGGCGGGGCAAATAGGGGCAACTGCCATGGGCCCCGCACTTTGGGGGCCTCCATGGTCAGTGCCGTACAGGCCCCGCTGCGGCTGCCACACACCAGCACTGCTGAGTGCCACCGGCTCTGCTGCTGCCGCTGCCACTGAGCACTGCCAGCTCCAGCCACTCACCACCCCCCACTCCCCGCCAGGCCCTGCACAGACTGTTATGCCCCAGGCCTCACACACCCCTAGGGACGGCTCTACCTGCACCCTTTCCGTCATGGGTGACACAGCCGGAGTGGAACCAAGTGGAGCCTCACCTTGGGGGCTTCAAACTGCTCTCCACCCCCTGCACCTCCCACATTGCCTATGTCCCCTCCTTTCCCTCATAGACTTATCTGCAGACAGCTGGGGGAGCCGCTCTTCACCGCTGCCTGACTGTATTGTGGCCATGTACGTGTGTGCGTGCACACGTGCACATGGTTCCCCCTGAATCCTGCTCTCCCCTGCCCCAAGCGGCCCCTTGCAGGCTAGAACTCTGCCAGCCTGCAAGGGGAAACCCACCATTTCCTCTGTTTTTCTGCAGTGAACAGAAAATCCAGATCCCTGCACATGATACTGGGACAACAGTTGCTATGATTTCACTGTGTTGAGGGAAATCTGGGACAAATTCTGTCCCGGAGTCATTCAGTTTGGGATTGGGATTTTGATGTTTACATTTCAGGACTGTTCTGCCCAAGTGGGGAGGGGTGGTCACCCTCCCCAGACTGGCCAGCTACCTGGGGAGTCCCTTGTTGCCAGTGCTTCGGGCACATGCACACATAGATTCACAGATTCATGGATGTTAGGGTCAGAAGGGACCTCAGTAGGTCATCGAGTCCGACCCCGTGCCCTGGGCAGGAAAGAGCGCTGGGGTCAGATGACCCCAGCGAGGTGATTGTCCAGTCTGCTCTTGAAGACCACCAGGGATGGGAAGAGTACCACCTCCCTTGGAAGCCCATTCCAGGTTCTGGCAACACTTACTGTGAAGTTCTTTCTAATGTCCAACATAAATCTGCTCTCCATAAATTTGTGACTGCTGTTCCTAGTTACTCCAGGGGGTGCCCTAGTAAATATAGCATCTCCTATTCCCTGCTGCCCTCCCCTGGTGAATTTATAGGCAGCCACAAGATCATCTCTCTGCCTTCTCTTGTGAAGATCTCTTGCGGAGAAGAGATCTAGGTCCCTCAGTCTCTCCTCGTAGGGCCTTGCCTGCAAGCCTCTGACCATATGAGTGGCCCTCCTCTGAACCCACTTAAGATTCTCTGCATCCCTCTTGAAGTGTGACGCCCAAAACTGGATGCAGTACTCCAACTGTGGCCTGACCAGTGCCACAGAGGGGAAGCATCACCTCCCTGGACCTGTTCATCATGCATCTGCTAATGTATGATAAAGTGCAGTTAGTTAGCCTTGTTGATCACTTTGTCACATTGATGACTCATGTTCATCTTGGAGTTAACCATGACTCCAAGATCCCTTTCCGCTGCTGTGCTGCTGAGGTCATCCCCCAGCCTGTAAGTGTGTTGGTGGTTCTTTTTGCCCAGGTGCAGCACTTTGCACTTGTCTTTGTTGAACTGCATCCTATTTCGTTCTGCCCATTTTTCCAACCTGTCCAGATCTGCCTGGATCTGTTCCCTACCCTCTGGTGTTAACTTTGTCCCATAATTTGGTATTATCTGGGAACTTGGATAGGGTGCTCTCCATGCCCTCATCCAAGTCACTGATGAAGACATTGAATAGCACCAGTCCAAGGACAGAGCCTTGCAGGACTCCACTGCCCACATCTTTCCAGGCTGATATCGACCCATCCACCACCACTCTCTCTGGGTGTGACCCCCTAAGCCAATTTGCCACCCACCTGACCATGGAATCATCTGCATCACAGCCTGTCAGTTTATTTACCAGAACAGAATGAAATACTGTATCGAAGGCTCTCTTAAAGGCTAGGTAGATAACATCTACCTCGACTCCTGTGTCTAAGCATTTTGTGACCTGGTCATAAAAAGAAACAAGGTTAGTCAGGCAGGATCTACCTGCAATGAACCGGTGCTGATTTCCTTTCACCATTATTTCCCCTGCTGGGCCTCCACAAATGTGATCCTTAATGATTTTTTCTAGAGTTTTCCCAAGGCTGGAGGTGAGACTAACTGGCCTATAGTTTCCCTGTTCTTCCCTCCTCCCCTTCTTGAAAACAGGGACCACATTGGCCCTTTTCCAGTCCTCTGGGACCTGACCAGAGCACCATGAGTGCTTGAACAGCCGTGCCAGCAGCTCTGCTATGACCCTGGCCAATTCCTTCAGCACCCTTGGATGAAGTTTGTCCAGGCCCACTGATTTGAACACATCCCGCCCCTCCAAGTGCCCCTTCACTAAGTCTGTGCTAACACTTGGTGGGCTGGTGTCCCTCCTGTGTCTATCTATGATCCAACTGGGAGATTTGTCTTGGTCCGTGTCTAGGAATACAGATGCAAAGAACTCATTGAAGAGCTCAGCTTTGTCCCCCTGCCCCCCCAATTGCCCCCTCACCAATTGCCCTAGTTTGTCCTGTAGGGGTCCTATGCTTCCCTGCACCTTCCTTTGGCTCCCTATCTACCTGTAGAAGGACATGTATGCAATGACCAAGCGCTTTTAAAAGCATCTGGCGCTGCATCACATGCATTTGTATAAATAGCAAAATGTATGTCAGCACTGAGAAAATGGCAGTGGTGAGCTTTTGAACTAAAATACATCAAAGGTGTTCTAGTTTTAAAGCGCACCAATGCATTTTCTTAGCGCTGATGCACATTTTCCCATTTATACAAATGGATGTGATGCAGTGCCAGGTGTGTCAGTTCGCATGCTCTGCAGGCTCAATTAATCAAGTCTGCCATGAAGCGCTGGATTTCTGGCATGCCGAAGCAGCGAAAGATATGTGTATAAATGCTCTTTGTGACTCACTAGCCAAATGTGGCTCCTAGCTGGCATTATGACATCAAAATCCATCTCAGCCAGTCTGCAGCATCTCCCTCCCTCCCTCCCTGTCATGTGCATGTTGACACCTCATTCACTGAGATCTAAGGAAGGGGAAGTCATACCAAGCAGAGCACATGTTTGATGGTGAGAGGTGCTCACCTCCACCTCAAACTGAGCTGCCCAGCGCAGTAGCCTGGGAGCTGCCCTTGTCTGTGAAGATGGAGGCAAAAAAGGCACATCAGCCTTTTCTGCATCCTCTGTCACAAGGTTGCCTCCCCCATTCAGCAAGGGACCCACACTTTCCCTGATTCTCCTCTTGCTACTGACATAATTTTGGAAACCCTTGTTACTCTTCACATCCCTTGCTAGCTACAACTCCAGTTATGCTTTGGCCTTCCTGACTTCATCCCTGCATGCCCGAGCACTCTTCCCTATTTATTTGTGCAAGTTTCCACTTCTTATAAGCTTCTTTTTTGTGACTTAGTTTACTGAAGAGTTCCCTGCTAAGCCAAGCTGGTCTTCTGCCATACTTGCTAGTCTTCCTGTGCATCGGGATAGTTTGTTCCTGCATCCTATATATTTTGTCATTTGATTTGGGGTTTTTCATCATGGAAAATTAGAGCTTCTTCTGCCCCTCTATTACCAGGACGTGGATCCAGCTGTAGTTGCCTACCCCCCTCAACTGCTTTGTGGTATTGAACAGCCATGATATGCTGTTGTCCCTCACACCGAAGCCACAGCCCCCCCAGCCTTACTGGTGCCCCTCGCTCCCTGCCTACCACCCACTTGTTCCATCCCGGCAGCAGCTTCCCCCATGCACCAGGATGTAGGTCTAACTGTGGCTGTCCCCCCTGCTGCTTTGTGGCACTGAGCAGCCCTGACATGCCAGTGCCCCCGCCCATGCCATTGTGCCTCACTCCTAAGCCACATCTCTCCCAAGCCTGCCAGTGCCCCTCACTCCAGACCCACAGCCCCTGCCTACCCCCATTTACTTCCTACTGGCATCAGCTTCCCCAGTTGTGTTTGTGGGCAAGTGTTAGGGAGGTGCATAGTTTGTAGGGGGAGTGTGGATATGGGAGTATGTGGGGGATTGTGAAGGAGTGTGGGAGGGTGGGGGTAGAGGTGTAAAATTTCCAGAAATTTTGAAGCCATGGGGAAAAAAAAAAAAAAATTTCCTTTCGAAAAAAATGGAAATTTTGGGGAAAATTCAAATATATGCAATGCTTATTTTCTTAGCACCCTTTACAGATCTAACTTCACTTTGCTACTTTAAGAACATAAAATGTATTATGTATAACTTGGTTTGCTCATAAAATTATCATGTTTGGTATTTTTATTACATTTAAAAGTATATTTTATTCAGACTGTGCGGGCCGGGAGCAATCCGGGCCCTTTTTCGCGCCGCGCGGGCTGTGGCCAGCAGCCCGGGCATGGTGGGTCGGAGAAAACAGGCGACACGTTAGAATTAGGCACGGACGCTTAATGGTTGATTCAAGATTGTTTACTTACACCGAAGATGGTCGCGCTGTAGGCTGGACAGTTTCCCAGGCACAGCTCCGTTTAAATCCTCGTTTGAGGACTCAGACAATATTCGGATCACTCCCATGGAGTTGTCGAGGCTCCGTGGATCCTTTTGCGCGCAGGGAGAGGGATACGTCGAGGATTGCGAACGGCAACGGGGAGAGGCTGATCAGACCCCTGTTGCCTGCTTGAAATGCACTGGGTCCGATAGGCTCTGCAGCGCTTAGAGATCTTCACACAGCATGAAGTCTCCTCCTCCTGGTGTTCGTGGAGTCCTCCAACTTGGGCGGAAACTACTCAAGCCTTTTATACGGCTAGCAAGCCAATCACTAGCCGCCACGTGTGAATAATTTAGAACTGGCCAATAATGGGACCCAAATCTACATAGGGACTCTTTGCAAAGTGCATTTCTGTGCTGCAAAGAAGAAATGCACACTGCAAAAAAAGCTACAAATAGGTGGGAAAATAATTCAGTGGTGCCAAAGCGCGCGTGCGCACACACACAAAAACAAAACAAAACAAAAAAACAAACCACCACACCTTTGGGTTCTGACAGACAATAATTACAAATTTACTAATTGAATTTACTTTAAATTGTTTTTAATTTTTGTTACAAATGGAGCTACAAGCTGCTGAACTCTAAGGAACCTAGCATCTCTTAGTTTTTGCCAGTTTATGAGAAGCAGGCAAAAATTAAAGTTAAAAATAGAAGAAACCATTAACCACCATTATAGCAAAACAAAGTTATTATTTATTCTGGACTTAGTCTCCTCCACAGTGCCAAGCAGATGCAGAAAGCACTTTTTTAGAAAAGGAACTGAGAAAAAAGAAAAAAAAACCCTGCAAGACTCATTGAATACAAATTTTGCTACATGAAACTTTGTCTGATCAGTCTAATTTTCTGAGCTATCACTGTTAGCAGTTTCTGCTTCTTCTGGTCCTTCATTTTTATCTTCTTCATGGACTTATGGAAACTGAAGGTTTGTCTGGATTGAGACAAGCTTCTCTACTCTTTCACATATTAGTTTATTTCTTGATTTGGTGTAAGTAGTTCCAAACATAGATCAGTTTCTTTCACATGCTGCAGAAGATGGAGGAATCTGAAGCAGGTGAGAAGCAAGAGGAGTCAGAGGCTGTGTTGTGCAAAGGCCTTACCACCATGTTGCAGGAGGAATATCCTTGGCAGAGTCCCAGACTGCATTCCTGGACCAAATACCTGAAGATGTTCTGTACTCTGCAACATTTGTAAGTTCCTTTCCAACATCAAGTCCTAAGTGTGTTGCTTATTTTGTAATCTAGTCAAATGCAGTAGCAGTGCTATCATCATTAACATTTCTGCCTTTGAATCTTAGATCCAGATTTGCAGCAGCATGAATTGATTGGCAACAAAATTCTTTCCATCTGTTAATAAAGTCTTTCACTTTTCTTTCTTCTGTACTTGTAAGCGGAGATACACTTAGATTCTCAAAAACAGTTGATTTTATCTGGGCCATGTGGTAAGGAATGTCTGACAAAAGTGCACTGTCTGATTCAGACGCAGTGACTGGTGAAGAAAATGGGTTTAGAATCTTCAGGGAGGTCTGCAGCTGCACCCAGAAGACATCCTCATCAAGTACAGTGTTCCTTACACTTCTGGGTACTTTAAGATCCTCAATTGTTACTGTTTCTTGGAGAACTTCTTTGTTTTTTAGTAAACTTTCAAATGAGATCACCACTCCACCCCATCTAGTTTTACTGCAGAGTTTGAGTGTCACTATTTTATTCTTTGCATTCTTTTCTTCCTGCTTCCTCTTAAAGACTGTAGCCACAATGAGTAGCTTTTACATGTTTTATAGCTTATTTTGCTCTTCAATAGATCTTTTGCAGAGTGTCCAACTTCATGATGTCATTAAGAAGCAAGTTTAGCCCATGGGATGCACATCCTATTGCAGTAGTATGTGGATATTTATCCATTATGATCTCGCATGCTGTTTTCATGTTACTTGCATTGTCAGTCAGCAAAGCAAATACTTTACCGCTCCCAATCTTCTGTAGGACTTCATATATTTTGCTACTGATATACTCTGCAGTCTGCCTGTTCTCTCCTGTTTCAGTGCTTCTGTAAAAAACTGGCTGAGGTGTTATCACAAAGTTTATGATTCCTTCTCCCTGACCATTTGTAAGTACTGCAAGACACAGTGCTTTGTTGATTTTTTCCTTGCACAGATCGCATTGCACCTTCATATTCGGACTCTAAAAGAGGCTTGCCCAAAGAATGTCTGCTGGGCAAATGGTATGATGGTCTTAGTAATTTAAAAGCTTCTTGCCAGTATGCATTGTCAGTTATGGACAATGGCATCCCAGAAGAATATACTGCTCTTGCAAGAGCTTGGTCAATTTTTTCCTGATCTTCAGGTGTCATCTTGTCTACAAAGTTAGCTATTGATAGGCTTTTGTATACAGTTGGTTGCAATATTTGGTTACTTGAGGATGTTGATTGGGCAACTCTTTGTGATGCTGGTGTTATAGAAGCAGCAGCAGCAGGACTTCTGGATCAAGAATGTTGGAAAGAGCTACTTTCACCTTCACCATTATGATCTACCTCCTCCTCACTTATACCCATGAAGGATTATTTAACGTTTGCAGGACACTTCTTACATGCAAGGATGTGCTTGGTCATCCTAGTAGCATTTGGAAATGCATATTTTATTTGACAGTATTTGTGAATCACATTTTTTTCTCAGAATAACTTGCAGTGTGGAAATGCATCCATATGCTAGAAGTTGGTTGCACCATTTTGTTGAGGGAGAAAAAAGAAAAATGTAATTTCGTGGCTAGCTTGCATATATAAACATTAAGCTACAGCATGTACACATTTAGTAATGGATGGAGGAGAGGCCACCTCAGAGTTAACTGTGAACAACTTCCCTGCCCTGCAGGCCTCACCTCACTGCGAAGGTTGGGTGGTTTGTCACAAAAATCAGATTAGTAGGAATTCAAGTATGAATTACATAGGTTATGAAAATATACTAATGCAGCTAAAATATAGTTTAATATACTGTATTCAGAGAAATTTAAACTCTTACCTTTCAAGAAAGGCATATACTTCCAGCTCCTTTGTGCTGCTTCTGTACATCTCAAGGTCACAGGGCCAGGAGGAGGCAGGTTCCTTCCAACTCCAAAACCTTTAGACTTGCTCTGTATCCTCTCCTGAGGCTTTTGAGCAAGCAGGGCAATAAGCTCCTGGTTTCTAATCTCTACAGGAACGAATGGATACTGCTGCCATTGTCCACTCCCAGTCCTTTGAGGCCTAATCAGGAGGATAGGAGCAGATCCACCAACCTCTAGATCAAAAGTCAACAATAGAAGATGTCCACAAGCAAATAAGGCACTGAATCCTTCTTCCTTCTCTTGTGAAAATGGCAGTGCCCTCTGGGGGCAGAAATGCATCCTGCTCTTGCATTTGAGCGTTGTACTGCGTGTCCTTGGTATACAGGAATTGTAATGGTCTGATACCGTAGATAGTCTTACATAAAAGTCTTCCTATTGCGTAGTTATTAGAAAACATTTTGGGGGAGTAAAGGGTAGCAATATATGAACACCTTGTCTTAAACATTTTATCCATCATTCTAAAAGAAAATATTTCATAAGATTTTCAATTGTTTTTTCAATTGTTCCAAAAATTTTCAATTTTTCCAGAAAAAAACCAAAAAAAGGCCTCAGGAAAAAATGGAATCAAAATGTTTTTCTCCTGAATTTTTCTGT